CGTTCCTTTAGCTTCAAACTGAATGCTTGATCAAGACGTAACTTGTCCATAGAACGTTGGAAGAGCTATTTAAAGTGAACTAAACGGGGTACGCATCGCGATATAAAGTGTCAACCGTTGCAAACAATTGAGATTTTAACAATGTTCTTGTAATTACTGGTTCCCTGGTTCCCACCTGCTAGAGAGTACTAATCTGCGTTCTTTAAACTTCCAATGTAATCCATGACGAGGAAAACTGATGCTCGTTTAGCAGTGTAAATCTGATCGAAAAATGTGTCAATCACATAACCACTAAACAAGCAACACTTTTCTTCGTCATGCATTACATTCGAAGTTTAAAGAATGTAGATTAGTACCCTATAACGGCTGATTCGTCTTGACCAAGCACTCAACTTGTAGGTGAAAGAAGGTAGATTAATCTCCAGTCAGTGGCAATAACATTAAACGACCAGAACACTGTTAAAATCGCACTTTATTTGCAACGGTTGACACTGTATCTCGTCATGCGTACCCCGGTTAGTTCACTTTGCACAGCTCTTACACCGTTATACGGACAGCTTTCGTTTAGCTGAAGCACTCAATTTGTAGCTGAAAGTACGTAGATTAATCGACTGTTATTGATAATAACAATAAACGGCCGGAACACTGTTAAAATCGCATTTAATCGCAGAGTACCACTATTTTTTTGACCGGTGGCGCCACCCGTGGCAATTCGCTCAAACTGCTAGCGAAATCATACCGACAGGTGAGTGAACATTTCTAGTGACGGAAAAATGCGAATATCTCAGTAATTGAGCGGTCAAAGTTAAGGTTGCTAGTCTTAAATTATTCCTCACGATTCAATGCGTCGACCGAAAGCAGCAGAACACCATAATTAGACAAATTATTTCTACCAGTGTAGATATGTACATTTGTAGTTTTGACAGAAATAATTCTTCCGTTTATGGGGTTCTGAGGTATTGGTAGATGCACGGGATCGTGAGGAGTAATTTGAGACTAACTGCATTTATTTTAAGCGCTTAATTACTAAGATATTCGCACTTTTCTATCATTAGGAATTTTCACTCACCTGTCGGTATGATTTTGCTAACAGTTTGAGCGAATTGCCACGGGTGGCGCCATCGTTCAAAAAAATAGTGGTACTCCGTGATTAAATGCGATTTTAACAGTGTTCTGGTCGTTTATTGTTATTACCAATGACAGGGGATTAATCTACGATCTTTAAGCTACATGACGAGTACTTGGTCAAGACAAATGCTGTCCATATAACGCCGTCAGACCTGTCCAAATATGAAGTAAACGTTGTGTGCTTGATGGAGTCCAGTGACCCTTCCAATCAAACTCAGCTTCCGCTAGAGGAAAAAGTGACGTAGAAGAAGGACCTTCTACCGCTCGGTAAATTTATTTCAAGTATTGAAATAAATGTTACATTGAATGATCATTTGGTATAAATTTCTATAATTCCCAATACCAAGTGGTAAGAAGCCGTTTCCCTACGCCACTTTTTTCCCTAGTGGAAGCAGAGTTTGCTCGTGGGTGTCTAGTGTACTCTTTATTCATTGATCCGAACGAATCAGGGTCCAGGGAACGAAGGCTAGAATGTGATTGCATATGTTCATTCTTAGAATTAAAATTTCTTCGATATCGTACACGTTTTTTTTTTTTATTTTTTTCACTACCGTTCGCTAGTTACAATGCATTCGTGGTACCGGTTTCATAATGAAAATGGGATTGTTACAGATGATGAGAGCTGCCGGAAAGTGTCATTTGCGCAACTGGTAGGATTCCCAAGGCGGCTGGAGAGAATCGTGTAAACAGAAACTGGAGACTCTCTTGAGAGTTGTTTTCCGTGAAAATTCCGAAGGGTCGCGGTTTGAATGACTTTCGAGGAAGATGATAGAGAACTTCTGCACGATATTATCCGGGAAACAAACTAGAATACGAAGTCTCGAAAGAGGTTGTTTCTTGTTGACAATGTACGACTTCATACGTGCACAAATGAATAATCATTGAAAACATTGTCACAGAAGATTTTGCGGGGTAAACGACCGATCTGGAATGGATTATTCGGTTATGGTCGATCAGGCTGTGAAACAGTTTTATGCCGAAGGGAACAATGAGGTGCATTTGTGGCTTCTACGGGTGCAGGCTTCTCCAGAAGCTTGGACCTTTGTCTGGGAGCTTCTCGATCCATCCAAGGTATACACGTTCTTTTACTAATTTCTGTTAGCTATTCTCTTCTAATCAATGACTTTCCTTGATTATTCTTACAGTCGTGGGAGGTGCAATTTTTTGCAGCTAGCACACTACACTCAAAGATTTCTAAACATTGGAACGAAGTGCCTAAGAACGAATATCCTGCTCTGCAGGAGCGTTTGCTCAATACCATAAAGCAACCAAACATACCAAAGTTTGTTCTGTCGAAGCTTTGCCAGGCAGTAATGTTTCACATTCCCTTATATCAGTCCGATTACAGAAACCGTACCGGTGTACACAGTAGTATTAAAAAATTTCTTGGTTTTAGTTAGCCGGATTCCTGGCAAATGTCAGTGCTATGGAAACCGAGGAACCAAATAAGAATGTCGTAGACGAACTCATGAGCATGCTCCCCTCCGATTCTCTTCCTATGTTGGAATTGCTTTTGAGGACACTTTCTTTGTTACCGGTCGAGGTAAGGTGTACGTCACGCTTGTACGTATCAATGTACTGTATTCTATTAACGTGCCGTGACGAAATTTGATCAGTTCGCAAGAAGATACGAAGGGAAACGAATCAAATTGCATGAACATTTAGTGAACGGTTGGTGCAAAACGGCCTGGCTTCTGCAACAAGTTTTCTCCATGTGCAACCCGAACACCCCTGGTACTGACAACGCGTTGCATCTGTTGGCAATAGACTGTGCATTGTTCTGGCTGCAAGTCGGTCAACTGCCTTTAGACGCGACAGGGCAGATATATCATCATTTGTTAATCGCTGCGGCCTACTATGCGCCAAGCAGGTACACCTGTTTACAAGATTTCATTTAACATTTCATTCAACATTTATCAGACACACATTACACGGTCGTTTCGTTCTTTAATGAAGGGACAACGCGGAAGAAGAGCATTCCAAAGGTTGGGAGGCGGTTCACGAATGCTTGAACATGATAGTAACCCGTTGTGAGCTTAGAAACAGGCCACTGACATTATGGGATTGGACGAGAAGCCTGGTGAGCTTGGCCAGACAGTACAATGGAAAGTATTTCTGTGAAATCCTGACCGCCATCGGAGAGGCGCACAGCCGTAATTTTTTACTGGCTCTGGTGGAGGAAGGAAACGAGTCACAGAGATGGACGGCAGAGGGTTTAATCGAATTATTGTTGGAATGTTCGGAACAAGAGGGACGCTACCCGACAGACGAGACTCGCAGTTGTATTCCGTTTGGATTTTGGTACGCGTTACAGGATGATATCGGCACACTTGACCAGCCGTACGAGAGTCACGCTTTGGTCGCTCTGAAACCAATTTACGCAAGACTGGCGCAAGCATTGTTGCGAAAATCCACGCTCCCATTGTCCCCTAACGAAGCTGGGGACGCTGACGAACGAGAACTCTTCAGGTGTTATAGACAGGATGTCGCGGACACGTTGGATTATTGTTACAGAGTATTGAGGCAAGACCTGCTGGTACTTCTCGGACAGCGATTGAGTCAATCGTTGCACGGATCAGAGAAATGGACGGAAGTCGAGTCAACGTTGCACGCTTTCGAAGCTATAGCGGACAGCGTCGATATAGAAGAATCGCATTACATTCCTGCACTAATGGATTTAGTTTTAACTCATATCCCATACGATCTCTATCCCGGACAGGTACAACAAAATTCTCTTATACACCCACGAGCAAACTCGACTTCCGTTAGGGGAAAAAGTAGCGTAAGAAAAGGACTCTTTACCACTTGACAAAACTTATTTCAAGTACTAAAATAAATGTTAAACCGAGCGTTAATTTGACATAAATTTCAGTAATTCCCGATACCAAATGGTAAGAGGCCCTGCGCTAATTTGTCCCCTAAAGAAAGCCGAGTTTGCATGTCAGTGTACTAGAGACGACGCATAAGTCCACAACAGATTACACGAATGTATGGCCGTTCAAGAGTTTTTATCGATGGGTTTGTTCGACACTTGCAGGTGCTAGCCTGCGTCTGCTCGACAGTGGGAAGGTACGCCGAGTGGATAGGCGTTCATCCGGATCCCTGGCTGGAGAAAGTATTACGAGTGGTCACCCTAGGCTTGACCAGAGGCTCGGTCACAGCGCCGCTTGCCAGCATGGCCCTGAAGGATCTGGCAAGGGAATGTGGACAACACCTGACACCTTTCGCCCCGTCTATCCTCACCACCATTGAGCAAACACTGCCAACGATTACACCGGGATGCGGGGAAGGCTTGCGACTGATGTACGCGGCTGGGAAATTATTGAACACCTTGTCCACCGTGGACGAACAATTGGTCCACCTGGACGCCACGTTAGGCATGTGTATCGTAAAGATCAGGGAGTTATTGGAGCAACCGTTGTTCGTAGCCCGCGTCGCGGTGACGAACCAATTGAAAATGGCCACGATGTTCTTCTCCACGTTGGAGGAATCGATAGGGAAAGCCGTGCTGGACGGGCTGCTACCGATATTCAATCAGATCATTCGTCATCCTGAATGGAGCCAGGATAACTCCACCCTGGAGGAGATGTACGTTTGCGCGCAGAAGTCTTTGTCGTCGTTGTCACGACCGGAAGTGGACGCTCGGCCGCTTCTTCCGATTTTAGCGACCTCCTACAAGAACTGGCCTCATCCAGCCGCGTTGGATCTTCTTCGACAGCTGGTATTGTTATTCGGACGGGATCCCGAGAACGTGATTGGTCCAATATTCGCGGACCTGAGTTCTGTTACTTTAAGTGGTGTCAGAGCTTGCAGATCGGTACGCGGTAATCTGTCCGATTGGGCGGAATTGATGGAAGCCTATTTGGGGCTGTTGGCACAGATCTGCAAGAAGAACTATAGGCTAATATTGCAAGTACCGGACCAAATTCCGGAAATGTTACAGTGTGGTATGATTTAATTTGAATGTAATATATATCGATATACGTTGTCCAGAAGCTTTTATTCGAGTGATAAACTTTCGTAGGGATCGAGTGTCTGACGTTGCCGGAAACGGGAACTGTTAAAGCAGCCGGATGTTTTCTGACTCATGCTATTATGCAGAGCCCACATTTACAAACGTTCATTCAACCGATCGGCCAGGAACTCGTTTCAGTAATCCTGCATTGCGTGGGTGAGTATATTTTTTTTTTTTTGAAAATAGTTTGTAAGTTATGTTGTTCTGTCACAGGAGATATTTTGTGATTGTTTCGCGTGGGAATAGGTGGGAAGGTACCACGGAGCAGTTTAGACCCTCATGCGGAAGTCCTGTTGGCATTGAATAAAGAATGCGTGCAATGGTTGGGTCATTGGCTACGTGGCGCGTTCGAGAAACACTCGGCTCTGTTTACGGTCCCTCAAGTACAAAAGGTTAATTTCGTGTCTCTCGTGCAGAAAGAGAGAACGAGCAAGCAACGAATGAGCGGTATTCTGAAGGAGTTCAGTCTGCAGAATTTAGTAACAAAACAGAACGCCAGTTGTGTCAACGAGAGTACTCGATCATGAAACCTAACCTAAATAAAACGCAGCGCGTACACTGTAAAATACGGTTTGATCGCGAATTAAGAATTAACCAGGGTAATGTTTATGTTTCTTTTTATAATGCATGATTTTAAATAAAGACTGATGATGGACGACGACGACGAATAAACAAAGGAAAAAATATGTGTGTGTATGTGTGTGTATATATGTGCGCGTATGTCACGTAATGCATCTTTCTTTATTCATTCTTACTGATCAGTGCGTTTTAAAAATTTACAAAACACAATTGCGTGCAATCTTCCTTTTCTCTCTCTCTCTCTCTCTCTCTCTCTCTCTCTCTCTCTCTCTCTCTCATTTTTGTACATAAGTCACATGTGTCGTACGTGTTTCTTCTTGTAAATGAAAAAAATGTAATCTTATAAATCTTAAATAAAAGTAGTCGAAAGGTCAACGAAATACAAATCTCGCACGGAAAATAGATCAGTGATCGTGCATAACTGGTTGATTATACATAAAATATTTTCTTTTATTTTTTGAAAACTAAACTAAATGATCACATTTCACCGCTGTCTTCGAACAGCGCACTAAGCTACGTCCGATATCAAGTTCCTTTGTGTTTTCTATAATATTCAATACTGTTCTCCACGGACGAACTCAAATCATTACGTTTAAAAATCAATTCATGCTGCTTGTTCTTATGTACCACAGGTGATCAGCTTTATAACGAAAGTATAGTTTGATACCGTTTTATACAGTAGAGCGATTCAGTATCTTTAAAAAAAAAAAGATGAATCGAAAACAATGCTACTTACAAACTGAGTATTATGTACATGTTACTTCAGTTTTATTTATATTCTTCAGAACTTTATTGCGTGTAACTCACATACACGCAGTATATCAGTGTCTCTTCAGCATGATTGGAATCTTTAATTACAAAATATAGAAAAAAAAGAATTATGATACATATATATATATATATATACATATGTATTAGGGTGGTCCTTAACAATGAGTAACAAAACAAATTTTGTCGAATTTTTTCAACTTCACCCCCTCCATCTGAATAGTTTCAGTCAATATGTAAAAGCTCGACTCAATCGGATTACGTAAAAAGAATGTCCCAGGAGCCCTAAAATTTTACTATACTTTTACAAAATACACGTTTTGATCTCTGTCCAGTGAACGCTGGACACAGACATTATGACGCGACTACTGTTATTGTGAAACAAAAACGGAAATTAAATGGACGAGAATGTAATAAACAAAAGGAACAAAACAAGATAGCTAGACAATCTGGAGTTGTTACTCTACACAGGACCGCGTTTATGGGATTTAATATGTAAAACTTTTTTATAGGTTAGGACCATATCAGGGAATGACATCGAAAAAATTCGAAGGTCGAGAAACAAGGGGACCACCCCAATATGTATAAATCAATGTTTCGCGGCATCTTCATCCTATCGTGATACAGAAAATTCTTTTTCATATCGAATCTTTCCCCTAATTCGTTTCCTCTGCCTGAGACGGTATACCGAATTTCGCTGCGACTCGCGATTTTTTCGGCTTTCCTACATTTTGCATGTTTTGTACTTGACGATGGGAACTGCTCTGATTTGATTTTTGTTTTTCAGTAACAACCATCGTTGGTTCGACTTTCTGAAACGGAATAGAAGTATCGATGTAAAGTTTCACGATGGCGGGGTATTCAAATATTCTTTGAGAACTTTTCTTAGTTACCTGAACAGGCAATTCCTTTTTCTTGTGTTGAACCATCGATTGTGGATTGTCTTTGGCACTTTGATTTGCTTGTTTAGAGACTCCACCGTCCTTGGCAATCATATTTCTGCTCTTCTTTTGTGCCTGTAGGGGGACAAAAGACGTGGGGTTCTTCACCTCAGACTTTGGTTCATTTTGGGCCGGTTTAGATTGAGGATGATGCCTGTATTGATTGGGCATCTGCTGGTATCCAACGTTCGGTTGTACCTTTGGGACAGATTGCGGGAAATGTTGAGGAGGCGGGAGTTTTGGGTGGTAGAATGGCATGTTGGGTGGTTTTTTCTGCCACCAAGTGATATCCTGTTGACTGGAGTACCAACACAACGGAGGTGGCAGTAGTACTTTCAAATTCGGTATCACATTAGCCAAATTTAACGTCTGTATAGAAAGGAATGTATAAATATCTGTAAGAAATCGAAGATATGACGGAACACCGAGAACGTAACTTCTAATTACCATGTAAACTTTTTTCGCTGCGTTTCCTGCAGCCTGTTCGTGAGTTGCAGATGGCTCACTAACAAATTTCCTTTTATCCGGCAGAACAATGTGTGCTCGAATTAAATTAGTCTCTCTGTCGGTGAAGTAGCTGTATATAGGCATCCCAATTCCACTTAGCTGATAGTAATGCAATAATTGTGAACAGTACCAATTCGCTTTCTTCTCGTCCTCCACTTTCTCGTTTTGTCGAGCATGCTGTAACAAAACCAACCTCTTGTCAAAATCAGGTTTCTCATAGGACTTTAACAAAGTACCCTCACAAGCAAACTCTGCTTCCACTAGAATAAAAAGTGATATAGGCGAATGATCTCCTACCATTTAGTTTTGGATGTTACTGAAATTTATGCCAAATTACCATTCGGTTTAGCATTTATTTCAGTGCTTGAAATAAATTTATCAAGTTCCGCTCTTTTCCCCTGGCGGAAGCCGAGTTTGCTCGCAAGGGTACAAGTCATATTTCCTTTCGATATTCACGTCAAATAATTGTTGCACCAAAGGGGGTGTATCCAATACTTTATTCTTCTTCGGGGAAACCGTATTACTGGAGGGGATTTTCGGTGGAGCGGACGGTTGCGTAGTGGTCCCTTGCGGGTTCTCGTCAGAAATTTTCAAAACAGCCTTAAGGAATGCACTTGGATCTTGTGGCTGGTGGACATATCGACCAGAAATTATTTATCGAACGGTAAGAAAATTAGAGGAATGTTAACAACTGTTACTTACTGAACTCTCGGGGAAACTTTTATTCATCTGTTGTTTCACCTTTAAACCCATCGGCGCCTGTACCACAATCTTCGCTGGTGCAGACGGTTTCTAACAAAGCAAAATAATCTTTAAGATCTTCTATACAACCATCGAACAAATATACAGGGTGTCCCGAAATAACTTCGACTCCCAGAAATGAGGGGGGTTCCTGGGATGATTTGAAGCAACTGTTTCCTCAGTAAAAATGTTATCCGAGGCTTTGTTAACGAGATATTAACGAAAAACCCTGACCAATCAAATTCGGCTTCCACTAGGGGATTAGGGAAAGGGCCTCCTACCACTTGGTATTTGGAATTACTGAAATGTATGCCAAATTAACATTTGAGTTAACATTTATTTCACTACCAGGAATAAATTTACCAAGTGGTAGAAGACTTTTCTTCTACGCCGCTTTTTCCCCTAGTGGAAACCAAGTTTACTCGTGGGAGTACCGAGCAGAAATCGGGACGTGATTAGAAATATAAATATTACTACCGTCGAACTGACCTGTGGCTTGTGCAACTCAGTCCACAACGCTTGGAACTCTAGCATCGGCTTCGCCGTTGTCGATTGCGTTTTCGGCGCGTTCTCCGACAACGGTGCATTTTGCTGGGCATTCTTGATCATTCCGTAGCCCTCTAGATCATTCACAGTCGCGTTCTGAACCTCGCATTGCTTCCATTTGTAAGCATTCACCGGCGGTGCTAGACGTATCTCCTGTTCCGTGTCGTTTTTCTTCTGAATGAATCGGATCTTCGGCGACGTTTCTCGCTCCGGGCCTGGTAACTGGCTCTTCATCCTGTACGACGCGAAAGCGCTTGAGTTTGCGCGCGACTGAGCCGTCTGATTGGACGCGGATCGCCAGGACAGTATGGATTCTGCGTTCCCGTCCACGTTTCTTGACCTATCGCGTTCTACCCTCTCGCCGTGGCTGATATTTATGAAATCAATCGGCGACAGTCGGTAACCGCGAAACCCTTCGCATCCGTTCACAACCAGCCCGCCTGGAAATAATTGAAAAATTCGTAATCGACATGTTTTCCACCGGCAGATTTCAAATTCGACTCGATTTCCAATTTACCTGGAAAGGTTCTATCGAACACAACGTCGTACATGGTGTCCAAAAAATTCTCCGCTTTCTGAATGCCCACCACAGTGCCCTTATACCCTAAAGGAACTGTAAAATTGTCTCTGGTGCAGCAGACTCGGTCCAATAAATAGGTCTGCGCCTTCGAATCCGGTGGCGCGTTACACATATGCAAACCAGGCTTAAACAGCAGGTAAGGCTTCACTTGCATGGCCACTAGTTTCTCGTTGTTAGCCTGGATCTTCGAATATTCGTCAATTTCCTCCTCCAGTTTTTTTACCAGACTGGGGTCCAGCGCCTCTGCGCCGCATGGACGACTCTCCAGACCTTGAAGTTGTTCTTTCAACCACTCCATTGTACTGGTCAAACCTCCGGATCTGAAACGTTTCAGAAATAGATTTATAAATATATATTTATTCATAATATATATGTATACTTTTTAATTAAAATCATCTCTACCCCTTGTCGAACAACTCTTCTTCCGTAATAATGTTCGCCACGTTCACCGCAAGTCGTTCAAACAACTCTGGAGACCTGGCCATGTAACTGCGCAATACTTCTACAGCTTTGTAGCTGTACAACCACTGGTTATTCTCCCTCCGAGTATAACCGACTATCTACAAAGATATACACTGTCAAATGCACTCTTGATAATCACTAGACTGCGGATTACATGCATTTACAGCGAAATATAGAAAATGGTAAAGTTAACATCAGATCTAATACATTTTCTGTCTTATTCTTGTCGTAATAAAATCCTTAATACGTTGACTGCCACAGTGAAAAAGGTCGTTCGTAACCAGACACACTTTATTTCCTTTTTTAAGTCATAAATAGTCGAAAGTGTATGCGTTTAGTCAATAGAGATAGGTTGTCTTGTTTTAAATTATACTGTGATATTAATTTTACAGAAAAGTATTGTAATGGTATTTAAATAATCCAGTCTCTTTGCAATGTTTCCAATACGAGTTATCTCTCGTAGTTGGCAGTCAACGTGTTAAGAAACGAAAGAAAATCCAATTCTTCACATCTGTCTTTACAAATCACTTTGAAAAATGTTACTTTGTATAAACTCCCGCAGTCTAATAATGACATATGAATATCCAACGACCGCTGGTGGACCCTTACTTCTTCGTTCTTCTTATTGAACTTCAAATTCAAGCCGATGTTACATTTTATGTCCTCGTGACCGAATTCGCTCGGAACGGACGGCCTCACGTAAATTGTCCCCGTGACCCTGCTCAACAGGTGGTTACTTATACCTAATATCTGCGCGACAATGCTTCCTTGCATGTATTGAGTTTTAACCTCTTGGTGAAGCTGTTTTATCCCCTCCAACGACGGTTCTGCGCTCACGTGCACAGACACTCTGATTCTCCCTGATTTCTTGAAGATCTCCGATTCGATCACCTGTGGAAAGAATCGTTTAATAAATTCACCAGTTCAAAAGAATGACAATTCCGAGTAACGTACTTTGCCCATCGCGCCATAATGAGGATGTCCCAACATAAAGCATACGGATTCCGGCACGAAAATCTCCTCGACAGTCTTGTACGTTGCTGCGCTGAAGCAATGGGTAGCAATGTCCTTGACAATCATTTGATACGCATACGTGATTTGCGAGTCGGACCATTGCTTTTCAAAATACAGCTTCCCGTGACTGCCGAAGATGTATTTGCTTCCTATCAGCGGTCGTGCGTCGACTAAAATCTTCGTGTCACCGATGTCCACGCCCATTGTACCTTTGTACCTGCAAATTGTAATAAAATTCATTGAACGATCCGTTATAAAATTCAACGAACGACCACGAAGAACTTACACCGCGGCGATAGTCTTCTTTTGCAGATACCGTTGCGCGAAAGACGGACCCTTCAGTTCCTCCGTTCTTATATTCTCGGGGGAATAATTCGTTTCCGGATTGATCAACGTTAACTTCTTACTAAACGTCGACACGCCTACCACCTGGGCCTCTGTCAAATGGGGCCAACCGACGAACACCGTTTTACCGATCAATTCCTCTGCCACGGTCGTTAAATCCTCTTCGGGCTGCGGTCGTAGATGCAGAATCATGTTATCCCTGAAGGAGGGCTTCTCGAACACTTTCACCTGGGCAGAATGGTACGAGATGGATAAAATATTCACGAAGCCAGGCTCTGTGACAAATCGACAGAGCTTACTTTGGCCTTCTCCAGAGTCCAAGTATGCTCGATATACCGAAGAGTAGGGAAGCCAGGACAATATACGTCTAATTTCACGCCAGGGCATAGACCTCTGACTAACTTTTCCCGTGGCACGATAATGTCTTGATAATTAATAAATTGTACGGTCGCGTGGCTGACAATGTCAGGAAAATATTCTGGCGCTTTCTGGACCCCCATTTCGTCCTCCGTGTACGAATACAAACACATCGGTCCGTGCTGATTTCGTTCCCGTTCCTCCGGTGTCAGTTTCGGATAGTAAGGTGCCATAGCTGTAACGTTTGACGTTGTTTATCGATTCTCTTTGGGGAAACAATAGTGTGTACGTAATTATTTCATCACTCACCGTCCAGTAATCGTTTCTCGTCGATGAATGGAAGAAGTACGACGGCCTCCCATTCTTGCTGTTTACCGTTTAGATCTGTTTTAAAGTCGATTGGATAATAATCGATTATAGGGGAATCCTCGTCCGTCAGTAATGTATGGAATGCCGGCGGTAATAAATCTTTACTGTAGGGAGACAGAACAGCTAACAATTGCTGAAACGGTTGAAACGGCTCCCCGAATTCGAACTCTAGTTTCAAATCTTTGAAGTCCTTTATGTCCGATATGTATGGCGCATAGTGGTGCGGGTAATACCACGACCAGCTACAACATCCGTTGTAGTAATAATTCAAGTTCCATTGTATGGCTCTGACGTAGCCCTCAGCTTGAGTGCGCAGAAAGTCTCTGGAATGATTTTCAACGATGTATAGAGACTTTTTTGACTTTGTTATGGTGTTTCTCTTTAACTGAATATTAATTCACTTACTCGTCTATATTTTCGTAGTCTAATTTGTTCATATAATAATCCCTTTTATGTTGGATGAATTCCAAATTATGCATTTCGCTATCCGAATCATCGCCGTCATATTCGTCTTCGTCGAACATCCCTAGTGACTATATGAAAAGAAGTGCGTTAAACGTAAACAGTAGACAAGCATTTGAGTACATCGAAGTAAATACCATATCAGCAGAAGCTCTAAGTAACGTATCGAACTCTTTGTCTTGTACTCTTTTCGGGGAAGAAGGAACCTCTTCACTGTTGTCTATTTTTTTACAAATCGGTCTGTCAGACTCTGCGACGCGTCTTCCTGTTTTCGATTCCAGGTACTTCAGAACCGCCGAATACTCAGCGAACTGTATAAAGTCAAAACGACTGAGCCTCTCCATAAATTTCTCGAATCTGTCCAACCTTAAAGTTCCCGTTTCATTTATGTATCCTGAAACAGGTGATATTTTTCTAGCCACCCTTCTGAAACTATTATTTTACACACTGTGTTCCTTGTTATAGACACTTACCGTCTAAAGTTGGCAGTACATCGATGTACACTTGGGTCAATATGCATATTGCTCCCTGGTAAATATGTAAATTAGGTAGATGCGGAATGAAATCGTTCCCTATTAGGAAACTCATTAAAATCCAATCGTCGATAATCTTTTCAATGTCATAAGGGAACGATAATTTCTCCTTCAACGGAGAAAACTCGTGATCTATATATTCTCTTAACAGAGATAAATGGAAGAGACAGAACTTTGTCTCTTCGGGTGTCTGAATTTTCGTTTGTTTCTTACCAAACTTCACTTCTTCTCTTAACAATGTAAAATGCACTTCATGAGTGCACATACCTAATGTTATTAAATCTGCATCTAGACCATACAAACAATGTCTAGTGTCTGGATTATAGTCTGGTTGAGACTTCATGTAACGAATATAGTCCATTATCTTGTGTTCTCCTTCTCCAGGAACCTGAAAGAATATTTTCTGTGCTCGTATATATATTCTATACTCATCCCATCTATATTTTTGTAAGACCTATCTCTGTACCTGAGATCCGCTCAATATAACTTTGCACTTTTGCCAAAGTTTATCCGTTGAAATCTTATGTGTAATAAAATACTTTAACTGGTCATTCAACTTGTACATAAATTCTGTTCCTGGGGTTATACAATTGGAGTCAAATTTCTTCCCTTCAGGGATCAGAATACCACTTGCCTTCGCCGCGGCTTCGTGCATCTGTGCATCTTTTGCAGCTCTGAAACGTCTGCTTCTTTGCTGATTAATTTTCGCACGAGGTGCAACACCATCGATCGCTACAAAAAACAACTTCTGTGGTTGAATCATACGAAATAATATCTCTATATAATGGAATATATTTTTAAATATAGTCTCTTCGGATATACGAAATGTGGTATCGCTGTCGTTGGGATGGGAGCATCCGTGTATGATACCATTCACATCTAAATATAAATTATCAAATTCTGGTATCTGCAAACAATGATGTAATCATTATTACATTTGAAGCGATCAAAAAAAAAATTACAGAGAGTTGTTTAGACATATTTAATTATGATGTTATTATTACGTATTTTTACAAGAAACGATGTAATGCAACGAGAAAATGCGTGTGAAAACATGCAATGAACGTAACACGAAAAAAAAATCTCGAAGATTCACAAAGAATTCTCTGCAGAGGAGAAAAACCTGTAGGGCGAATAATGTTTATTGTTTTCTTTTTTCTGTCAATCACCTGATAGTCCTTTAACGTTTCGGTGATACAAGGATATCTTTCGCTTATGTATCGAAAGAATTTGGCTATACCCATTTTATTGCCGAAGTCTTTTTCTCAGTAACTCGAAGCTTCCGTGCGGTTCGCACCGTAAATCCAACACTTAGAATTTCTTGTCGATCGACTTTTTACAAAAACTAAAAACTGCAACCGTAAGTTTACTTTATCAACTTCACATTCAGAGATAATAAGATTCACAGAGTCGGGAAACTCAAGCGAATATCCTGCAAGTGTACAATGTAGCGCTTCGATTGGTAACTGATCGTAAGTTACAATTTTCCCTAAAGCGAAAGACACAGTGAGGTAGCATAATAATTCCTTTCAATCCTAAAACATAACGAAAAACGAATGTATGCATCGGAATTAATGTTTTTCCTGGTATGTATTGCTTTGGGAATACCTAAAAAGAAATCATTTTCAAATGCATACACTCTGTCGATCACGTTAAACCTTTTTTAAAAATCAATTCTTTTTCATTCATTATCACGAATACAATTCCTGCTTTCTTATCATTGTTTTCCAAAAAGTGAAATGCAAATGAATATTCATTGTTGTAATAATGTTTAATTAAATATTGCATTAAACAACTATACATAATAAGCTCTGTTGATACTCGACCCCTTGCACGTCGAACGTTAGAACAGTTTTCAGATTTCTCGATTGTTTATTAGAATATGAAAAGTTATAAGAGAATATTGTTTCCTTTATCGCGTGGAAAAGGGGTCTTAAATTTCCGCCACAAAATGCAATTTGTACGCTTCCGGTCGAATAGTAGCATTTTCGAAATTACTATAGAATCGATAAAGAAGTTCAAAATGGAAGCCAGTCATAAACAGCTTATGCTTATGTATTTATCTTCCTAATAATCATTCGTCTCAACTATTTCCAATTCAGAAAAAATCACCCTGGAACTTCGTCCAGGTACTGTCGAAATTCCGTTTGAATTTCAACTTCGTCAACGCACCAAATGCATTCTTCTTTTCCCACAAAATATATCGTTGTCTACTTATCTTCCGTTACAGAGAACTTAACCTCAGCCTGAATGCGAGTAATGTTGATAGGGGCCTTTATTTTCATTTTTTACACGGGCAAATATAGTCGTATGACAGTGCTTCCAATAATTATAATGTGAAAGACATTTGTTCAGTACTAGAAACACAATTATTGTTGTGCATTGTCCTAGTTGCAGATGATCAATGTTGGAAGGATGGTATTGTCGTTCAATCGCAAACAACAATGCAGATGCAGAAGACGATGACGAGGACAGCCCTGAAGAAGAAGTGCCTAATTACAAGGATCAATATCGGAATCTAAAGAGGAAGTTAAAATTTCTAATTTATGTACGTGCGTTCAGAATTATTAATTGAACGTATTTCATCTTTTTTGATTATTGTTTTCATTTGATTGTTCGAATGATTAATTTAGGAAAATGAATGTTTCCAAGAAGCTTTACGATCTACGCAAAGAAAGCTGCTTAAAGTGAATAGGGACAAAAGTTTTTTATTGGATCGTTTATTGCAATATGAAAAAGTGGATGCTTCATTCAGTGAAAGTGATGAAACGGAGTCGTCCGACGAAGAAGTCACTCGTTTCGATACTTCAAAAAGGTACACCCGAGAAAGTTTACTCTCTTCTCGATGAACTTTGTATTGACAAGGTCTGTATTTTTTTTAAGGAAAAAGATAGAGATGGCTATCAGTAATCATACTCCACACCACATACCAACAGTAAAACCTTTCAACACCAGTAAAAAGAAAAAACCTACTGCAAAAGTGACAAAATTGAACAGTACACCTATAGTAAGTTATCGTTAATTTTTACGAATGTAAATTTATGGACCAATTTACAGGAACTAAAATCAAATAGAGACTTATTTATTTGATTAAGAATTTTATTAAACATTTCACTGTGGTGAACTTTCAGCGAATGTGTACATTATCAATTTTCTATTACTAGTGACAGTTCTATGAAACATCTGCACTCTTTCAGGTACAATCGTCTAATAATATAGTACCAATGTCTTTAATGTCGGATGGTCATATGACGCCTGAGGAAGTAGAAAGACATCTAGAGTCTCGTCAGACTTACTTGGAGCTTGTACCGGAAAAAGCACCACCTACAGTCCCAACAGAGATGTTCAGCAATGATCCCTCCTTGGATAGGTGAATAATCCTGTTGTTTATAATCACAATACAGATTCCAGGAAACTCGACAGTAACGGTATTTTATTTCTAGCGAGTCGAACGAAATCGGTGAATTAGAAACATCTCCCAGCAATATGGGCGAAGATTGTCTCAGCGTGGACATGATGGCTGAGTGACAAACCTTCGTTTATAGCTTAGTAATTAATTACAAATTACACGTGATTACGTGTTACGTTATTACTACCTTATTCGGCTAACTTATCTGTATTCTTCGTAACATAATACAAATTTTTATACATGTAAAAAGTTATCCCGAACATCTTTGTTTCTCTAATCGATTTTTTTTTCTCGTCAATGACAATCTGATGCTCCGGTGCATTTATAACGGTTAATTTCTGCACGAAAAATAATCAACGATAAGTTCCTTTTGGGCTACTTATCTATTGTTAGCCACAATGCCCTTGTTACAATACAGTATCGTCTGGTTTTATTGGTGGCAAAAGGCAAGTACAGTGAGAATTATATTAGATCCAAAAAAAAGATAGAACTCGAATAAACTACAAATCTAATATATCACAAGTTTAACGGTTACTGAACACTTTTTCCGCCGTAACGACGGACAATTTCGTTAGGATGCTCTTCTTTTTATTGAGATCTTCCCTCGACTCAGCTGGGATATGTATATCCGTACTTTACTCCCGTCCGAGACTTTCTTCACCCAAATCTATCGACAACGGAAATTATTATTGGAATTAGCACAATAAAGAAAACAACAAATAATTCCGTTCAACTAAAAATGATTATTTACTTACAGCCTCGGTTCCGATCGCAGAAATATTAGCCGCGAATCTTGTCAAGTCTTTTCCTTCCACATACACAGGTTGTCCACGATGGAACCTGTAATTATTCGACATTAATTTAAGATTCTTTGAACTTTTCATTGAAATGAAGTTGAAATTACCATCGCCTTTCGTGTAGAAGTTTTCCATCTTCTATCCTAGTCTCCACTAGGGGTGTCTCGGAAGTTGGAGAAATATGTTGCGAGGGCATGTTCACTGTATTATAATGCGGAATCACTGCTGAAATTTAAGAATGTGCCGTTAATCTATGGCACGTTGCTCTGAAATTTCCTATCAGTACCTGGTTTTCGAACAGTAGTCAGTACTTTACCACGGCTAATAGCTTTCAAATCGCTCTCGATCTCTTTCTCGTCTAAAAGGTAGTTCAATTGTGCAGGAGGAGGTTTTCTTCGTTTCTCTACTTTTTCGGGGACAGGGTCGTTGGGTCGTCTCCTCAACTTTCTTGTCATTACAGGCTTCACCTAAGAACAATTAAGTGAGTATATATATACTTTAAGAATGGAATTACATTTTCTACTGTTATTTGTACCTCCATCGAGTCTCCTGTAAGCTCCATAGTGTGTAGGTCAGACTGTATCATTTTCCTTTTCTCCTCCATATCGCTCAGCAAGTTTGCCTTCAGGTCTACCTTTTTCTCTTCGAATTCCTTAACCGCTGCTTTCTTCTCCAATATGTAATCTCTTTCTACCCATTCAGTCAGATAATCTCGATAAATAATATTCAACCTCAGTCTGGAAACATTCCAGTTTAGTCAGGAAATATTGTACAATTACACTATAACGTTAAAAGATTATCAAACCTTTCTTTATATTGTGCCTCCAAGCGTTTTAACTTGCGATTATATTCCGGATGAGTACCATCTTTCAGTTGCTGTAATTGTTTTTTCAAGCTGGCTAACTTGTCCTGGTAGACTCTGAAAGATCGTATTGTTAAATCGCTGGAATAAAAGCTTACATCGCTCAATTTATTTAACTTACTGCTCCTTTATCTCTGTGTATTCTTCGGATTTGCCTAGGTCAGTCTCGCTTGCCTCCTCAGTGTCTAAAAACATTGAGTGATTTATGAAAAATTTGAGTGAAATAGAAATTCGTTTCCCTTAATAAATGCATAAAACCCGTAGTCCAACGATTACTACCTTCGTCACTCTCATCTTGCTCATCAGCTTCTCGATCATCCTCCAGGTACTCTTCGTTATCCTCATCGATGTCGTAATCGTCCTGACCGTACATTGTTGAAAACGGTGAATCTTGATACGACATTTTATAACGCGATGATCATCTCTCAAATTCCATTCAACAATTAGAAATTAACTTGAATCGAATTGGTAAATAAACAGTTGTTTACGATAGAGGTTATAATCGTAAGGTACAACGCAATTCAGTTGCATCTTTCGGGACACGTCATTGGATTTATAGTAAATATAGTAACGGAGAAGCACTTAATACCAGACGGATACGATACGAATATACGAGAGATATGTGACAAAACAGATATAAGTAAAACGTCACTTTTGTTTACGGGTTACAAACATCAATTTAACATGGAACCTTTCATAAGAGTCCTTAGGGGGCTCCTGTGCAGCTCAGTAGATCTTACAGAAATTCATTTCATAATTAATAGACTGTGGACGCTTATGCAAGTATAAATTTTCATTAATTAATTTAAAGAAATTGAAATTTGTTTACTTTATTAAAGGTTCTCATTGAGGTTCGAATAAAATAAAAATATCATTAAACTTTATGGGCACGTTGGAGGGTATACTCTTGACAGCAGTTCTGTCTACAGGCCTGTCGTCGAAGAATTTATATTTATATTTATTACATTTTTAAAATACGTTTCAGTTTTCTATTCGAATGTATTATTTAAATTCACGGCGTTTATTGCTATAAATTTAACCCTTTAACGAAGATTTTTTTGTCAGATTGTTCAGGTACGTATTCGGATCGCGCGGTCCGTTCGAATATAGTTGGCAGCACGTGCTATTGGCAGTAGTTCTTAACGTACTTCGCAGTTGTATAGTTGCGGTTTTAAAATGAACGCACGAGTGGAGAAACGTATTTGAATGTAATTCCTTGATTTCTCGTGTGTTTCTAAATTACGTTGTGTCACAAGTACTCTGTTGGCTGGCATAGTGAATACATGTGTCACAGACTCGAGTTAATCATCTTTGTAGAAGCGTAACGAGATCATTGAAATTTGGCGGTAACATAACCTTATGGTGACCTTAGTGAAAGAACGCATAAATGATTTTTTCACGTTCCCTCTGTTTTAATATCGTCCGCGAAATATGAAGGAACTGGATGAAGTCAAGTGCGAGGTAATTTCGATCGTTAACGAATTTCCTTTATTCTCGATGTATTTTCAAAACGTGTACACACAACCATGCAGGTGTATACATATATATATATATATTCGTGTTTTTTTGTCATTGATATTATTTCCATTTGCTTGTTCAGATTCGCAACGTTGTAGACATTCAATGCTCATTTTCTACTCAATCAAGTAACACCGAAGAAGATCATGGTGGATTATCGCATAATACACAAGTGTATAGCAGTTTTGATAGTTCTCACGGAGGGTTTTCAAATGACGCCAAGTATGCTTGGCTGAGCCATGGTTCTCATTTGATAGTTCTTAACGCAAAAACTGGAGAAAATATCAGTTCGTGGACTTTTCGATGGAAGATCACCTGTGTATGTCAATTTCCTGCGCAGCCTGGAGAGTTACCATTACTTCTTGTTGGTTTAGATAACGAAGCCACCAGAATCAAAGATTCTATGGGCTTGTTATGTGTCTTCGACACTACTACCTCTCGGATTTTAAGAGCCATAAGAGTGCGTATCACTGAACGTACCCCTGAAATATTTAAGCTCCTGTCACTAATACTTTTTATATTTGTAGATGCCAGTTGGGGTCGAACAGGTTTGCGTTGTGTCTGGTGGTGCAGACTGGGAGGAATTCAACGATAAGAGACCGGACAATTTTTTAATGCAAATGGATGGGATAGCTTGTGTGGTACTACGCAATCTCTATCATCTAATGATAGATCTTCAGAGATCTACCTGGGAGTTACTTGACGATTTGTCTCTTGTTTTGGACGAAACATCTCCGGCTGAAGTAGAGTTTCTAACAACAAAGGATTCGCTTAGCAGACATCAAGAAAACAAGAGTAAACACATGGTTTGCAACTTGCTGAATCCACGTAAGAGAACCTCCATTGTTTGATATTATTTGATATATCTCTCCGATAGTACATAGAATTGTATTTTTGTCTTAACAGGTATAGAGAAGCATATCGGCTTCAACAGAGAGGAATTCGAGTCGACTGGTTTTTTAGACGAAAGATTGACAAACGCTATTATCAGTTCCACGAAAATCGGTTGTTTAATATCTGGATGCCTCGGTAGAGTTATAATATGGCAAAACAATGGTTCTGTTGGGTGGATCAGTTTGCCGGTCGACGAGACGATGATAGTTACGCATCTGGCGTTATTGGAACCAGCCGACGACCCAAGACCTTTCTACTATTTATGGGTCGTTTTCCAAGACGATACGTCGAAGGTGCCTCCACTTTTGAGAATGTATGCCTTATTGTTCGAGCGAAAATACTGTGATAGAGGAACCAATTTGTATTTCAATCTAGAAGCAGAACCTAGCCTTAAGTTCGAATTCGAATTGGACGCTGACGACAGAGTGGTCAGTCTGTCTGCCATCGAGAGAGGAACCAATTTAGATCAGACGGAGTCTGAATTGAAACGCGGCGAGGACAGTTCGTTACTGATCTTAACAACCAGCCGAACGTTGTTGTTCGACTTGAACCAATGGTACAAAGAACAGATGCCACAGACCGTCGACGATTGCAAGAATCCGGACAGTATATTGGCTAGCTATAACATGAAAATCCGGCCGACAGCAAGCAGCGAAGTCGTTAGCTGTATTTATGTTCCCCGTTCTTTGCAAGAGTTTCCGAACAACCGATTAAGCTCGACGGAAGAACTTTTCTACCCGAACTCGTTGGCCCTGGAATGGATAGAATTGGGCCAGTCTAAATTAACATTCTGGTTGTCACGAGGCGTCCAAGCGGATCTGTTACATGAACTGGCCGTCGCCGGGCCGATTGTATTAACTCAGCCCTCCGAGATCTTTCACAAATGTCTCTCCATCGGCTTGGTTCCGTCCCACACAGAAGTGTCCTTCTCGAGCGACCATAACGCTCAACGCGACATGCTGCTGTCGCTATGCTTGGAGCAACGTTGGGCGACTTTCTTGATCAGATGCGCCAAGGAATGGTCGGACGGGAGCGCAGCGTATATGTATCCGAGCTTCTTAAAATGGGGCATACAACGGGCCGCGACGATCAAAATGATAGGGGATCATTTGTGCGTTCCGTTGTTCGACCAATCGGGCAACAATATCGGTGAGTCCGAGGTACAGACATTGAGATTCTGTTGTCAGCAGCTGGAGTGTTTATCGAACGTGGTGTCGAATTTACCATCCGAGACGGGCAGCCTTGTCAAACAGCGAAAGGCACTGAAACGCGTGTCCATATACTTCCAAGTGCTCCTCTGGTTCTACGACGTGGGTCTGTTACCGGAATCGCAGGAGCTAGAAGAAGGTCGCATTGCCCTGTCGCTTGCCATGAAAATACCGTATCCGTATGAGAAATTGTTTTCCCTTTACAAGGAGAAGAGGGATTTTGTGATGGACGACGAGCAGAAGGTCGACGGCGAGGAAGTGTTCTTTATAGATGAACTGATTACACGGGAATGTCCTGCCCTGAGCTCCCAGTGGAAACGTGAAGCTGGAGACACGCTCGCGGATGGTTATTATCCACCTCCGTCGTTGCAGTCTCTGCTGAGAAGCTACTTGACCGACTGCGAGCAAACCGACTCGGACGAACTCGAGTGTAAGCATCAGATCACCATCTATCTTCTGATGGACTTGGCTATGCTACTGCAGGGATCTTACACCGGTGTCGACCAGCTGATAAAGTATCCCTCGTCGTTCAAGATGAGCCCCAGTATCATAAAGCTGACACAGGCGTTCTGGCTGCTGGATCACGAGGATTACCATGGGTTCTTGGACATGATGACCGGCCAGTTGGTCTCCGATTCGGACGTCAAAGACTGGCATCATCGATTGGTGTTGCGAACCCTGATAAGGAACAACCAGCACAAAATGGCCTTGATGTATCTGCGCGTCAGAAAGCCCCCGTTGTCGTCGATACAGGATCAGAGCACGTTGATCGGCCTGGCGGTGGAGCACGGATTAGTTCAATCGGCCTTTCACCATAGGCCGCAGTCCCATTACGCGCAGCTGTTGGCGTGTTTCTTTCAATCCTGTAAAGCATACGGTAAACTGAACGATATTCTTCACTTGGCTTTAGATACCGAGGAGGAGGAGATGTTCGTCAAGTTTCTGGAGGAGACCGAGTCGGAGGATATGAAACTGCTGTATTATTTGCAACGTTGTCGATACATGGAAGCAAATAGTGGAAACTTTACTGCCCATTTCAACGCAACAGCATCCAAGAACGACCACACGGACATGCTGAACGCTTACAACGCCACCTTGCCTGACATAATGAAGAAGTTCTCGATGAACATGGGCAAAACGAGCACAGACACCGGCGTGGAACTCAGGTATCCCAGACCAATGACGTACAACAAGAGCTTTCAAGGGGGTTCAAACATTTATGAGATGGTCATCAAGAAGGCCAAGGAGACCTTTCACGGAGAAGAGAAGTTTGTCATTCCTTTCGTCACTGCTCCCTGTACAACATTGAAGATGAACGACGAAGAGGTTAATATAAACTGTGTAACGACTCCAAAAATTGTGAAAACGCACAGAAAACGTACCTTGGACGAGATTCAGAATGAGGAGGAGAGTGCAATGAGAACACCGGACAGGATAAAGCGTAGGAAACTGCTGGAGGATGGGGACGCAGCTATGAGTGCTGCGTTCAGTACACCTTTGGTGCAGCGAAAAGTATCACACAGGGACACCACCACAGAGACCCCTCATTCTATCTTGAAGATTAGACAGCTTATAAGAAATTCAACGTCTCCAAGCATTAGTAACATTCAGGATGAGGTTATGGATGACTCGATCTCTGACAAGGAGAAGAAGCTGAATAGGCAAATACGGTTTAATATTAGTCAGTCGAAGAAGAATAATTCCTACGATGAAACCAATGGCGAGGGGAGTCTCTCTGCGATTAATACGTCCGAGAAAAGCGACGAGGTACTATTCAATTCGACAGTAAACGAAAAGTCTTCCACAGACAGCACAGTACTGTCAGATGGCAGCTATACTTGTAAACACGTGTACAATGCTCGTCCTAGACCGAGTCTCAGGAGAACTTGCCTACAAGCATCCGTGGAATCACTGCAAGGCTCTGACAGCAAGGGTTCGAGGAAAAGGACCTTTCTAAATTCTCATCAGTTTACACCGAATCTTTTGGAAGACACTTCAAAAATTTCCACGAGAGTCGTTACACCGCAGATATCGAGAAGACTCACTTCGAGATTCTCCACTTCCATACATTCAAGTGCTGTACTCAGTCCAGGCAGCAGTTTCGAAGAAGGCAGTCCTTGGAGACGAAACAATGAGATTAGATTAGGTATTGGTTCGTTTGTTTCTTCGTCGAAGAGTCTTGTACAAGAGGAATCACGCCACGATATCGAAGAACCGATGAATATAGATGAAGAGGAGGAAGAAGAAGATAATGAAGTGGAAGAAGAAGAGGAAGAAGCCATACTGGACACATCATCGGACAGTCCAATGACATCTCCAGTTATACCTAAATGTAATCACTTCAAGTTCAACAGCAGCGATGGTTTGACCAAGTATAAGAACGGAGACATTTCCAAGGGCAGCAAAGACCAAGAAGACGATGAGATGGAAAATTCTGACAACGAAGACGAATTCGAAAGCTTCTCTAATATATTAGGAAACAGTTCTGATCAATCAGCGAGCAGAGAACGCCGTTCCTTGTCGCTTGGATTACAGAATCAAATCGGTACGGATGTCCAGGAACGCACAGATCCGAAAAACGATGGACACTTTGACATCACTGACGACGAGTCCTCAAACTGTGCCGATGCAATGGTTCTGGCTTTCAGCGAGACACCTGACGAATCAAGAGAAGCATCCCAAACGGCACTAGTTTCTGTGGAGAACGTGTACGACGCAGTGAACATAACTGATGATGAATCTGATGCTAGCACAGATGTGCTGGAACCTCAAAGGAGTAGTTCCATGCAAAAGAATCTACAGAAAGAGTCTAGATTCTCTGTGAAAGAAGACAAGTACGTGGAAGATTCAGTGCATCTTGATAATAATAATTCGAGTGTCAGGGTGGCAGTAAACAAATCTGTACATGATTCACCCGAACATGTAGAATCTAAAGATATTGTTACGACTTCTAGGTTAGACGATGAGCCTTCAACAGTTGGCGACAGTGTGACACCAAGAGTGACCAGATCAAGAAGGGCTTCCTCGATAGCAAAAGAAGTAATCTCAACGTCTGTAATAAATTCACCGTCGAAGGTGGTTTCGAAGACACCTGCACGATCAAGAAGAGCAAGTTCGTTAATGAAAGAGGTGTTGATCGCGTCTGTCGCGACTGCCGATGAAGGTATTAAACGTACAGGATCGTCTGGATCAGAAGACTCGTCTGGAACTTCTTCGCCAAGAAAAGGTAGGGGTGTAAGAGCATCGTCCATAGCAAAGGACATTCCTCCTGTGGACGAAGAAGTACCAGAAGACTCTCCAGGTTCTTCTTTCATCAAGAGAACCAGAGGGAGAAGAGCATCGTCCATAGCAAAGGACACTCCTCTTGTGGAAGAAGACAGGAAAGAAGGCCCACCAGGCTTGTCTACACCAAGAAAAACCAGAGGTAGAAGAGCATCATCGATAGCAAAGGATGTTCCTTCTGTGGAACAGGAAGGGGAAGAAGAATCTTTAGCCTTATTGGCCAAGAGAACCAGAGGGAGGAGAGCATCGTCCATAGTCAACGATGTTCCTCCTGTGGAAGAAGACAGAGAGGAAGGTTCGCCAGGCTTGTTTACACCAAGAAAAACTAGAGGCAGAAGAGCATCATCCATAGCCAAGGATGTTCCTCCTGTAGAAGAAGAAGGGGAAGAGGACCCACCAGATGTCTCCACCCCAAAAAGAACTAGAGGCAGAAAAGCCACGTCACTAGTGAAGGATGTTCCTTCTGCAGAGGAAAAGGAAGAAGTCAGAACACCTGTAAGAAGGAACACAAGACGTGCTGCTTCAGTGCAGAAAGAATTACCAGAGTCAACGAAACCCTTAACGAAAAGCAGAACTTTGTCTTCGTCCAGCTTGGCAGTAGAAAATGAGAATGTGAAATCACAAGAGGAAACTAAAACCTCGAAGACTAGGAGCTCGGCTTCAGGTGGAAGAAGATTATTGAGGTCAACAAAAGAGCCTGTCGTGAACGAAGAAGCGGTAGAAGAGGTTAATACTGTCAGATCAACCAGAAGACGTGGTAGTTCGGTGCCTAAAGAAGTAGTGGATATGGTGAGGCCTCAAAGATCCAGCAGTGTGGCGAAGGAAGTTATTTCAGAGAATTTCGAGTCTTCATTGGAGGTTACAAAAGGAAGGAGCTCGGTGGTGGCTACGATAAGTAGTCCAGCAGTGAATACACGAAATCGTAGGTCATCGATACAGTCGATACCGGAAGAGCTGGAAGAAATACTGAGTGTACCGTCGAAAGAAAGAATCTCTGCTGTAAGCAGCAAGAAGCAAGCTGCACAGACTACTAGACAGAGAAGAGCCGCGAGTGTTGAGCTCTCGCAAGCGGACACAAACAAGAGAACCAAGAGCACTCGTGGTAAACGTATCCTAAAGGAGACTATAGTCGAAGAGGAAGCGACAGAAGTGGAGGCTCAAGCGAGCGCAAAGGGTTCTAAGCTCAAAAAGGCTGCTTCGAGAAAAAAGAATACGTTGTCGGACGCACAGGGAGTGAACGAGAGTCTGCCAAGAACAAAAAAGGGTAGAAAACTGAGTGAGAAAGAGGATGTTGATAGTCAGTTTTCATTTTCACAACCGGACAAAGGAGATGATCCACCATTGGATCAAAAAGGTAATTTGTAGCAGCATTCGCAGGAGATTTCCAGATCTTGCGGTGTTGCTGATGATACCTTTAATCTTTTCAGTCATTGGAGAAGTGCCCAATTATGTCTTTTCACCGCCTCATACCAGGTCGAAGACCATGACTCCTGATCACCGTAGGTGGTTACTTTTCGATTAGATTAACTTCCTCTATTATCAGCACTGTTCTGCTTGTTATCTTCCAACTGCGAAAACAATGCGTCTTTACACGCACGCACGCACACACATACACTCAATGCTTTGTAACATTTTTGCACAAGCTACTGATGCATCAGCTAAGGATTTTAGATTCCTTTTTTCTTGTTTTATTCTGCTACATACGTATCCACTAGTTTCTTCTCGTCTAATAACATTAATGTTCCTTTATTATTCACATAGGAGAATAAAGAGTTTTGTTCCTATTCTGAGTGAGGATGAAGCAGAGGAGGAGGAGGAGGAAAAACTGCACATTGTACAGAGAACTTCACAATTTAAGAGAACGGGTAATTACATTCGGATCACTGTAAATCATTGTAGGACAAAATTTGTGTTCCCTAAAAGATCGAACAGCACGTCGAATTGAAAAGTAAAAGGTTTTGTAAAATTTTCTTCTACACCGGTTCCCCACTTTTGAATGGGTTACACATGGCCATATTTATGATCATTAGTAGATTATTTGTTTTTCCGCCTGGAACAACAACTTTTCTTTTTTTTTTTTTTTTTTTTTTTTTGATGATATCTTTACGTAATAGACAGCGCACCAGAAATTATGATATATGTGGGACCATGAGGGACGAAATTTCGTCGCTTGAAAGAGGGAATATTTTTTTGCTATTGAATATTTTATCATAGAGTGATCCCATATGACATTTGCGTTTGAATTATATGTTAACATAATATTCTGTGTAGAGAGTATTTTTAAAGCGAACATGCTTTGTTGGAAAGATTATTTTGTATAATCTATAAATTTATTCGTGTAGTTTATGTCATTCTGTGCATTTTGCATTAAAGGAACAGCCGTATACTGGTTCTTTTGTTACATTTTCTGCTCATAGAATCTCCAAACAGGCTGACAGCTGTACAGAGACAAAAGTTTTTGTTGATCCATATATTTCGATGATAACATTTAAACGGCAAAGTGTTATGAGAGTGTATTATACCAAACGAGCATCTAATACTAGTAATTGTAAATCATAAAATCCATTACTTTTATACACTATTCGTGAAATATACTTGTTACATTATTAATCATTCTATCTTTTTTTTTCTCTCTCTCTCACACACAAATTCATAGAATAATAAATGACTGTTGTACGGTATGGGGTTCTCAAATGGAAACTTGTATTATAACTTTGTAAATAATTTATTAATATACCCATGTATAGTTGTATTCATACAATAAATGTAAAAAATACTTAATACGCACTGCTACCATCGAATAAATTTCCAATCACCGTAAATAATACATTGTTTACGTTTCTAGCGCTAAAATTATATTAAATAATACTATTAACGAACTTCATTTACCTTTTTCTGAAGATTATTCTTACGTAGATTAGTAGAAATTGTATAGTGCTTACGATTCTCGAACTTAAATAATGGAAAAATGTTACAAAGATTATTAATATAGATGCCTATTTTCCTACAATCTTTGAACCTTAACAGTTTATATTAAAAAGTACATAAGTTATCGAGTGCTGAAGCACTTTCTTAAAGCGCGCCTTTCGAACTTCATATACTTTGAAAATTGATTTTCTTTTTTTGTCCCCTCCTAATAATTAACGCCTGATACATACTGAATGCTAATAATGTCATCTTTGGCAGTAAGGTATTCTTTGCGTTGCACCTTAAGTATAATTAGAAAGAAATATTTTCCTCTAAGAAACAAGCACAATTCATATATGTATACGTATATATTAGATCTATAATAAATTTCGTTCAGAGAGCATTCAATTAAGATCTGTCTTAATTAAATCGTTTCGTTTCAATGATTCAGTCTAAATGATCGATCTTTGTACATTTCTGTTTGCTTATTCGATAAATTGATCGTTTCGTCCTTCATTCAGATTGTCTATTCTACTACCTTTATTCTTTGCTTTCCCATAAAAATCTTTGTGTCAGCGCAATACAACGTATCAATAGAAATATCATTGTATTCGGGTCGAATATAAATGTACACGATAAAAGGCAGATCTACGGATTTTGGGAACGGTGCAACATGTTACATCGAACATTCGTCGATTCTACGTACACCGTACCCTTTTAAAAGGCACACGTATCTTCCCTACAGTTCCGAGATTCTCGTTGATAATAAAGCCTGTATCCTACAATAAAATGTGTTTGCAATCGGAGTAAAACCTCTAATCAGATCTACAAGTAACTTACATTCCATTTTTTTTTTATGGCAAACATTTTGTTTATCGAAAGTACTCGGTTCTCCCGATCTTCGAATATATGTTACTGCTGTTTGCAGCCATCCTTCACTCTACGCTTGTGTTTCTCTTCATGAAATTGTGACGGGGATTGCATTTGATTTCTTCGTTGTCCTTGTATAGGCATATAACACGGAGCGTCGTCGTTCATGAGTTCCTGCGGCGGTGTAGGCAGTGCAAATGTAGGACTGACTGTGCTGCTCGAGCTACTGGATGTGTGTCGATGGACGCTACCATTATAAGTGGGATCGATAATCGCAGCGACATTCTGTACTTCCCGAATATTTTCAGTGGTGTCGTCCAATGTTTGTATTTCTTCTGGGTCCGCATATTGCGGACAGTTTGTGGTAGGCTGGACTCTACTTTTATTCGGTGTACTTTTCAAATCCAACTTATCGGGCCTCTGAGGCCTTTCCATAGTATTCTGTTCTTCCAGCTCCTTCTGCTGCCTCTCTAACTTCCTTTGTCTCGCCTTCTGCCTGGCCTTTCTAGCCTTCGCCCGTTCTTTGTCCTGTAGCATTCGTGCCAGTTCAGCATCCTGCGCTTCCATCGCAATTTTTTGATCCAGCAAAAATTGTTCATCGACAGGCCCAGGCCCATCGTGACTGTCTATAGCGTTCTCTTCCTCTTCTTGTTGCAATTTCCTCGCCAGTTCCTTTATTCAAGAAATATGCTATTAATACAATGATACTACTACCAATCTTTCCTAGAGTAACTGTGATACTACCTCGTCTTTTTCTTCTTGAATATGTTTTTGGATTTCAAGCTGCGTCACCTCATCGTCCAATCTCAACTGCAACCTCATCTGTTCTTGTAACTCACGTTCCTTATGTCTTTCTTCCTTTTCCAGGGACAATGCAATTTGCCTTGCAACCAGGGCATCTCTTTCTTCCCTGAAAGAAATCATTCCTTTTAAAGAATACCACTGGAATGTACAAATGGCTTTCAAAATTTGGTACAGACTGCTGTTGGACATAGTCCTGATATCTTAAAGCTTCTAATTCCTGTTCGACCCGTGCTTTTGGTACGTCCTCCCTCACTTGAGCGTTACGCACCTTGTTGCCAGAATAGTGTTCTCTGACTAGAAAGAATAATAATATAGAAAGGTCAATCCAGCAGTACGGTGGAAGTGGTCTGTGGGTGTTTTCGAACACTTACTTTCTTCGTCTTGAAGTCGGTAGGCGAGTGCGCCATCCTCGTGAACCAACCACTCCCGACAAACTGTGACAGTGTCGAATGAAATCGTATTTAGAGATACCATTCGAATGAGTAATTCATGAATCGAAAGTGACAACCGATATATGGTAGTATCTTTCCTACCTTCGTTCACACGACCAGCCTTGGGAAGGGTGTCCGAACCTAGCACAGATTTCGCCATCTCGTATTAAACCAATGTCCTTCCGGCAAAATCGATCCTTCAAGGCTTTACAACTTTCTTGTTTACAACCGTCTCACGGGAAACATACGTCGTTTTCTCTCCATCTTGAGAACAGCAGTGAATAGACGTTGCGAATGTGTGTTGGTCCCTGTCGTCTCCAAAGGTGTGCATTTCTCCTTTCATGGTGTGCGTACGGAACGTTCCCCCAGCGTCAGTATATGAGAAACGGGCCTGCGTGTGAACATACACACACACACACTTCCATGCGAGGTTTCGCTGAAACGCAGCGATGAGTATGATCCACTCGTAAACGAGGTAACTTGATCAAGCAGTAGGCTGTCGATAGCGGGTGAATTTGTTCTATTGCGTTAATAGTTTGTCAATATTCCCTATTTTGTCCTGCCACAGGCAAAAGTGAGAAAAAGAACTATGTAAGTTATAATAAGCTCATCAGAAGGCCTACCCAGTCAGCGAAATTTGGTCCAATGCTTGGTATAACGTTACGTACTCATCGTGGCTACAAGTTTGATGCAAGATCTGCTATAACTTGCAGGGATATTGGTAGCAAATTAGCAGCAAGTCTTGCAATATAACTTAGGTTGTAAATTGACTTCGGTTAGTTAGCCTGGGTTGTGTTGCAAGACTTGCTGCCAATTTGCTTTACCATTTTTTGTCAGCAGGCTTCGCCTGCGAAATCCAAGTCAAATGCGGAAACAGATGGCTATGGTTTTTTGGACAAATTTTGACATTATTTGCTGGCCATTTGCTCCAAGTAATAGTCTGAATCGTAATAAGGGATTGGAGTTATAAAACTTCTCCACAGGTTACTCGTTTATACCCAGCGCTATCTGTATGCTATTCTCAATGCGTAGTGTAGTTATTCTAGTAGTACGGGTAATACGCTAGGTAGTAAGACGAACGTACTCACGTCGAACGTTAGCCAAGTGGATAGTACAGTTCCTTTTGTTCTGTTACGCAGACGACACGGTATACAGTCTGCTCCAAGAAGTTATATTACGCTGGAAAAAAGTCCTGTAAATTAGATCCACTTAAGTTTGTACATTTGTTCCATTAGACACTCGATGACGGCATTAATTATACTCTAGATCGTGCTAATTAGAGCAACGCATTATTGGGAGAAAGAAGGCATTAAAGTATAGCGATTTCTGAAAGTAGACCGTGCACTGTGTACACAATAATCCATATTCATGTTGTCATTCAAGTTGCAGATGGACCTGCGTAGAATGAACAATACGCTAAGCACTGACGAAATAGAGAATAGACCTAACATCAATTATAATTTTCTGTGACATCGGTCGGGCCAGGTCGGGCTCTAGATCATCTGAGCACCGACTACTAGTCGGTGACGTCACGGCGTGCGAGCGAGCCGCGGTATCGGTGCTCTCCGTCGGTGTCGACGCGTACCAAACGAGGCCGAAGATGGTCGGAGCGGGCGAAAGGGAGAGAGCGAGAGCGATAGAGCGAGCCGCAGTATCGGTGCTCTCCGTCGGTGTCGACGCGTGCCGA